CTAAGGTAGGTGTTTACAAGAATTAAGCTCACAAGAACAAAATATTTACAAGAGAAAGATGAAATAAGAATGAAAAACTCTTCTCTTGTGTTTGATTGCTTGGATGGTAGTTCTCTTTCTTCTTCAAGTGTCCTTAGCTTGTATTTATAACTTGTATTTATAGCTTGTATTTATAGCTTGGAATGTGTTTGATGTTGTATATAGCCGTTGGAGATGTTTTGGAGCCGTTTAGGTATGATTTTTCTACTCAAAAAGGTTGCTCATAACATGGTGCATCGGTGCACTATCATGGTGCATCGATACCCCTTCATTAAAATCAAATAAACTAGCTGTTACTAGCCGTTGCAGCCTTCGTGCATGAATGCATAGCAGGATGCATTGATGCACAGCCTTGATGCATCGATGCACAGCCTTGATGCATCGATGCACAGCCTTGATGCATCGATGCACAGAAGGATGCATCGATGCACTAATTGTATTCGGTGTTTAAGTGCATGGATGCACTAGTGCAGGTGCATAGATGCACTTTGACACCCTTTAGCATTTTGGCTCAAATCCGAATTTAATGGACTTTGAATTATTTTTGAAACCTTTTAAAACTTTGAATAAATTCAATTAAGTCCAAAAACATTTTTTAAATTCAATTCAAGTCCAAAAACCATTTTGCCTTAAATTGTTATATCAAAACATAGTTCAACAAAGAATTTACTAAACTAGTACAGAAAGGGTCTGTGGAGGAGTATCAAGATAGATTTGAAGAATTACAGCCTCACATGCTTTTACAGAACCCTACTCTGGGTGAGGAATTCTTTGTCTCTTTGTTTATCAGTGGATTAAGAGATGACATTAAACATAGGGTCAAAGCCTTAGATCCTAAGACATTGTCTGAAGCATACAGGCAAGCTAAACTGTATGAATTGTTTGTTGAATTTGAAAGTAAAAGATTGAGTCCAGTCTTTAGAAACCCACCCTACCCGAATTCCCTACCTATTTCTAAGCCAAATCAATTACCAATTCCACAAAAGAGTTCAACCACTTTGCAACCAAAACAGAATTTACTAGAGTACAAAAGGTAAAATAATTTGTGCTTTAAGTGTGGTGAGAAATTTGTCCCAGGCCACCAATGTAAAACAAAACAATTAAACATGATGATTGAAGATGAGATTGTTCTTCCTTCAGATACTTTACCTACTGATTCAGAACAGCCAGTCCTACAGGAAGAAGAGAGCCTAGAAATATCTATGAATGCTATCACTGGGTGTATTGGACATAATACACTAAGAATTCAGGGCAGTATCCAAGGAAAACCATTGAACATTTTAATTGACAGTGGCTAATGGACAACAACTTTATAGTTTAGCAAGGTGTAATAAGGTTGAATGGCAAATGCAAGGGCACTCTTTTGTTCATGATTTTAGACTTTTACAATTGGGAGGGAGTGATATGGTGTTGGGAGTAGATTGGATGAAATTATTTAGTCCAATCTTGATGGACTTCAATAAAATGTCTCTTAGTTTTGTTCATCAAGATGAACAAATTGTTATACATGGTCAGCAACCATCTCAATTTTTGCAGCAAATTTCAGGGGCTTCATTATTGAAAATGACAGCTTTAGACTCTATTATTTTGGGACATGTGGTATTATTATCTATGACAGAAGGTTCTAAACCTATTCCTGCAGCTATTCAGCCTCTCTTAGAAAAATACAAGACTATTTTTGAGGAACCAAAAGGCCTTCCACCAGAAAGAAACCATGACCATGGTATTCCTCTTAAACCAGATTCAATTCCTGTCAATCTCAGGCCCTACAGATTTCCACATAACCAGAAGGCAGAGGTGGAAAGGCAAATTGCTATTATGTCTTCTTCCTCTATTATTCAGCCTAGTAGGAGCCCATTTGCATCTCCATGCCTATTAATTAAGAAGAAAGATGGATCTTGGAGGTTCTATGTGGATTATAGACAGCTAAACAGCATGACTATTAAGGATAAATTTCTTATTCCTGTTGTGGAGGATTTATTAGATGAGTTACATGTGCTGTTTATTTTTCAAAGATTGACCTCAGATCAGGGTATTGGCAAATCAGAATTAAAAATGCAGACATACACAAAACTGCATTCAGAACTCATCAAGGCCACTATGAATTTAAGGTAATGCCTTTTGGCCTTACTAATGCCCCTACTACTTTTCAGGCATTAATGAATGAATTATTTAGTTCATTCCTTAGAAAATTTGTCTTGGTGTTTTTTTATGACATTTTAGTCTACAGTAGTTCTATGGCAGCTCATATTGCTCATTTACAAAAAGTTTTAGAGGTGTTACAGGCTAATCAATTATTTGCAAAGTTCTCCAAATGTTTTTTTGGACAAACCCAAGTGGAATACTTGGGACATATTATTTCAGCTGCAGGAGTTGCTACTGATCCTAGTAAAGTGGAAGCAATGCAGAATTGGCCTCTTCCTAAATCTTTAAAATCTTTGAGGGGATTTTTAGGATTAACAGGCTATTACAGGAGATTTATTAAAGACTATGGTGCTATCAGCAAGCCACTGACACAAATGCTTAAAACATACAACTTTAAGTGGACTAGTGCAGCTGTGACTGCCTTTGAAGAACTTAAAAGAGCTATGAGCAGTGGTCCAGTTTTAGCTCTCCCAGATTTTTCCAAGAATTTTTTCTTGGAAACAGATGCAAGTTCAGGTGGTATAGGTGTTGTCTTATCTCAAAATGGCAGACATATTGCTTATTTAAGCAAGGCTCTTAATCCTAGAAATTCTAGCCTCTCTATTTATGAAAGAGAGTATCTTGCTATTCTACTGGCAGTTTCTAAATGAAGACATTACTTAGAGGGAAATCCTTTTGTCATTAAAACTAACCATGAACCTCTAGAGTATCTCTTGGAATAGAAGTTAACTACTATAATCCAAAAGAAAGGCCTGACTAAGCTTTTGGGTTTGGATTATACTATTCAGTATAGAAAGGGAAGATCCAATGTTGTGGCAGATACCTTATCTAGGCAATGGGAGGATAAGGATCAGTGTTTTGTTATAGGTACAACTGTAATCATTCCTAGTTGGGTTCAAGATGTAGAGGCTAGTTATAAAGAAAATCTATTGCCTGCTGATTGGATTTCTAAGTTAACTGTGAATCCTACTGTTGATATTAATTGGAGATATTCAAAGGGCATCCTTAGATTTAAGGATAGAGTTTTATATTGGAACTGATGGAACCTTAAGACTACAAATTCTTCAGACATTACATGATTCACCGTATGGTGGTCATTCTGGAAGTCAAGCCACTTATCAGAGAATTATATCATATTTTTATTGGCCTAGACTTAAGGCTATGGTGGCAACCTATGTCAGAGCTTGTGCAGTTTGTTAACAAACTAAGGTGGAACATGTTGCTAAACCAGGACTGCTACAGCCACTACCTATTCCTCAACAAGCTTGGGAGGTCATCACTATGGATTTTATAGAAGGGTTGCTTACATCATTGAGTAAAAACTGTAATTTAGTAGTGGTTGATAAGTTTACTAAGTATAGTCATTTTTTGGCTATGTCACATCCATACTCAGCAGCTGAGGTGGCTAGATTATATTTGGACCATATTTATAAGCTTCATGGACAGCCTAAAATGGCCATTTCAGACAGAGATAAGACTTTCACTAGTCTCTTTTGGAGAGAACTAATGAAACTCTTAGGAACTAAGAGTCTATTTAGCACTGCCTACCATCCTGAAACTGATGGACAGACAGAGAGGGTGAACCAGTGCTTAGAACAGTACCTAAGGGGTCTTTGTTTTTATCAACCCAAGCAATGGGCTAAATGGTTGCCACATGTTGAGTGGTGGTACAATACCACCTACCACACAACCTTAAAGTTAACACCTTTTTAGGCTCTCTATAGCTACAAGGCTCCTACAATGGTTTGGCATTCAGAGACTAATGTACATGCAATAGCAGAATTAATGCGTAGCAGGGAAGAAATCAAACAATTGGTCAAAGTCCAGTTAGAGCAAGCCAGTTATAGAATGAAACAGAGAACAGACAAAAACAGGTCAGAACGAGTTTTTCAAGTTGGAGATTTAGTTTACCTGAAGTTGCAACCGTATCGACAATCTTCTCTTGCCCTGCGAAAAAAATTTGAAATTGGCAGCAAGGTTTTATGGTCCTTATAAAATTATTGAAAAAATTGGAGAAGTAGCCTATAAATTAGACTTACCAGATACTTCGTGTTTGCACCCAGTCTTTCATGTTAGCCTATTGAAAAAGCATGTTGGAGACACAACAGCAACTTCAACCGATCCTCCTGTTATTGATGATGAAGGTCAGTTCAAAATCGAACCCAGTAGAATATTAGGCAGAATGATTATTAATCGACAGAATAAACCAGTTACACAGTTATTGGTTCGCTGGACTAACCTGGACGAGACGCACGACACCTGGGAAGATTATTCAGTGCTTCGAGGACAGTTTCCATTGTTTGATCCTTGGGGACAAGGATCGACTCATGGGGCGGGTATTGTCACAGTTGGAGAAGGGAAGCGAGAGGGAGAAGACGAAGGATGAGAGAGGGGTATCGAAGAAGAATTGGGAAAATTGGGGGAAATGAAGAAACAAGGGTTAGGGATTGAGATTGATTTGGGAAGCAATTACCTGAGAGAGGAGCAAGTGAGGCGCACGGGAGTTATTAAAACACCAAACCAGCCGATCCAACAGATTCAGATGCTTGGTCCAGGAGATCCAGGTGAAACACGGGTGGCCCAGTAAAGCCTAAGTCCTGCGGAGATAACAAAATTGGTTAGCAAGGACAGACCAGCTGGCATAACAGATTCTCTATTTGCTTGTATGTAAATAAAACAACAATGTAATGGAAAATGGTTATGAAATGAATGATGAACTTTCCATTTCTCTAAATTTTCTAAATTCTCTCGTCATCTACAATCTCTATTTCTTCTCTATTTCCCCTTAATCCATAACATAGTTTAAGCACACAAACCATTTTTATCCATTTGACATTGAGCCAAGTAGCTAGCAAACGCAGTGCCACACGGTGCCGAGCATCATAGCCCTTTGGTCCGTCATCACTAACATCATCAGCCACACAAGATGAAAGAAGCTCATAAAGAACAACCAACTTCTTCTCCTCTAAAAGAAATTTTCCCTCGTCAATTGGTTTCTGGGTGAATCTACTTCTTGATCGATCCCCATCTTCATTATTGGATATATTGAGAGTAGTTGCAGCAGTTGTGTCGGGATAACCGCACCTCTCACGGCACAGTTTCGTAGTCACAATTCCTATCACAATCCTCGGAAACAACGAGAGAGCTTTCTATACCAAGAATTGTAGCATCCACAACCTTAAGTAAAGCAAGTTCCTTCTCTTGGATTTCTAAATAAACCCCATCATTTTTTTTGACAGTAATGTCAAGAACTGTACCAAAATCAAAACCAAGTACATCGAAAAAGGAAACCCAAAAATCATCAAGAAAATCGAAAGGGAAACATACTGATCCAACGTGGTGCCTAGCTTGAGTAGATACTCCAGCAGTTTCTTTGAGCCCATCCCAAGCTTGACCCACCACTCCCATGTACCTAGTCCGTTCAAAATGCATTCCAAGTAAATAAAGAAAGACAAAAACCATGGACAAAAGCTGGGGATTAGGCATATATATATACCTGAAAACAGGCAAAAGTAAACCGGACTTCTCATGGATCCAAAGCTATGGGAAATCGGAGACGGAAACGGTGTCGTTGTTGCTTGCACCTTCGCCAATGGGCTCCTCATTTAGAGAGAGGAGAGGATTGATAGATTGATTTTGATGAATCTGAGAATGGTGAAGAGCCAAAGCGAACAGAGCTGAGGCAACGTATTTCTGTGTTGGTGAGAGTATCGATGTGTACATCTCTACGAATATAGTTGATAATCAACAACATAGATGCACTACAGGTATAGAATAGAGGAAAAGGACCATGACGAAAAATATAACGAAATTTGTTTTTTTTTTAATCATGAAAGTCGAAGTTGTTGCCAGATTTTTTCAAAAGCTCGCAACGGGTTCCCGGTGAGAAATGAAACGACTAATGCTAATAATGGATCGGCCCAATGTTAATTATGGACTCAAAGCGGCCCATTCAACTTTTTTTTAGCCCCATACATACATTTCTTTCTCACATTGACCTGTTAATAAAAGCTGATTCGGTTGCATTCCAAATTCCACATTTACTTTTGGATTTAGATCACATATTGAAACCCATTATCAGATTTACTATTTTAATATTTTTTTAATAGTTCAGAATAATTATAAAATAATATCAATTGAGAATTATTTTAAGTCTTGATAACGTACATACACCTTTTAAACATATTATTTAAATTAGAGATCTATAGATAGAACAACATTATCTAACCACTCAATGAATTTACATAATAAATATTTTTATATTACTCCTTTTGGAGCTTACAAACATATTATTCATTATCTAACCACTGTTAATCTAAAAAATAGATTATGAACTATCTTGTAATCATTATATATTATTAAAAAAATAACTATATATTATTAAAAAAAATTGCAGCTTGACCAATTTGTATGAAAAAGGAAAAGGAAATAGAATATGCTAAATGCAAACGCAATTTAATCTTTTATCCAATTTTCTGCATACGTATAAGTGAGACATTTTCCCTCTGAAAAATAACGAACCCCCCCCCCCCAATTGTTAGTTCCAAATATGGTTCCCTCAATGAAGGTTTTACTCTTGGAACAGCGTTTTCTCATGGGGTCAACTTTCACAGGCGCAAGTTATCTACAAACAACAAAAGATTAAAAAAAATATTAAACCCAACACTTACTTTGGTTTATTCATGTAATTATCTTGAAGACGAACCATTCAACTCTTCTACTATGTGTATGCAGTGTAGCCTCTTTTGTACCATGCAAAACAAATCTTCAACAAAATACGACCAATTTGTAACTGAATGAACCCTAAAGCTCATTAGTATGCAAACTACGTGGTAATAACGGTCTGAAACATCAAGATCCATAGAGTACCTGTGTAAATCTCTATTCTACCTTTTATTTTTTAAGGGGACTAAAAACCATCATTTTACATCTCTACTGCTTATAAAACCTATAAAAGTCAATGGAGGGGAAAACAAACACGTCAACGTATTCAAGCTTCAGCTATATTGATCAGGTTTTTGCAATAATATCGTCCAACCCGCTGTGGTCACACAATAGTTTCTAGGGACTAAAAAATTAACAGGTGTAAGAGACAAGTACACGTACCTCCCATCATCCATTGGCTAGCCAACACACTTTGCCAATCTGGAATTCCAAAACGAGGTGTTAGCAATGGATTAATAACTGAGAAATGAACAGTGCATTCCGTTAGTTTTCTGGTATATAGAATGAAACAGCCAGCTAGTATTGCATAATGCCCTCTAGCTTACCCAACAGATGATATACGGTATTAACAATGCCAATGCTCTCTTCAAAACCATCTATACCCATACCAACAGACAAGAAACTCACCTAATAATTTCAATGCGAATTTCATTAGGAAATAGCTTAATTTGGAATGAAGATATGTCATGTATACAGATGCCATGCAGTTCGACACCAAACTCCAACAAAAAAAAATACAGACGCACACTAAAACCTCTACAAAAAAGTAGATATTGCCCCAGATTCATTCCATGCATGTATTTCAATCATTCCTTCAATAAAGATTTGAAGAAAGAAATTGAAGTTAGCAATTGAAGCTCAATTAGAAAAATCAGGACAATGTTGCAGTATTTCCAGGTGGACAATCTCTGTATGCTAGTCATCACTAAAAGAATACTAAGCTATACACATCAAAAACAAGAAAAGACAAGTTGTGTCTCATCTGTGTGGGAATCCAATAATAAAATTTTGGATCTCGACTACCACCCTTTCAAGCATGCCTTTGTGCCAATAGTACAAGGATCTTGATGTCATCTTCAATGCTAACCACTTGCCCAATCCAGGAGATGGACAGCCACGACACTTTAATTATCTCATTCATAATAACAAAACCAATTCAACCTCCAAAAAGCTTCTACAATGTTCTTTTGCTCCATGAACACCTTCTAGGTCATGAACTGCTGATTGTATAACTCTTCCAGCATCACCGTATTTTAAGGCGGTCAACTCGAGCAGTGAGAGGTTTTTTATGTCTTGCAGAAAATGCCAATAAAGCATAACCAGTCAATCCTTAGCACCATCATGGTTTCATGATGGGATTCGTTGCCATGTGCCTCTCAATTAATTTGTCCACAAAGGGACGAATCTGCATGTCAAAGGCATCCAGATTAAGCTTGATTGAGACACTAAATCAGCATACTATCATTAAGTATCCATTTTCAAAAGCTGCAGTTGTCTTTTTCAGAGTAAAAGGGTAAGCAAGAACTATTCAGTTTAGTAATTTTGCAAAGAAGATTGTTAAAATGATTGCGACAAATAAAACTATAATAATAAGAATCATAAATCGTAGTTAATGTACAAATGAAACCTAACAAGAACAATATGCCCCAGATATACCATCTCATTAGCAATTACGAAGCCAATTGTGTGCATCAGAGAATCATTAAAATTGAGGAGAAAAAAATGAAAATGAAAAGATAAACCAACAAGTCTATAGGCGTACTGGGTAAATAATATAACCAAATACATTATACAGGACCTAAAGGAAATGCATACTTTATTTTTGCGCTTCAAATCAAGAAATTTAGGAACAGCCATGTGTTTCTCTGCATCTGTCGCCTGCTCCATTACCTGGTAAGATAATGAGTTTCAAAATTTTAATATTATTTTCTTAAATATAATGGGTAAACATTTTTTTATTTTTTCTCTTAATATGTTAAATTAAATTTAATTATTTTCAAAATAATAGGGATGCAGATAAACTCCAAAGAGACTTAGTGAATCCACCCTGGTTATAAGAGAAAATAATTCCATAAAATTTTATACGAAAAAATCATTTTCTCAAAGAATCATTTTACCAGTTTTATTATATAAACCACGATTTTCAATTTTCTTAATTCCTAAGCTCAGCCGAAAGGTATTATCTACTTATTTTTTGCATAGCGGCTCTTTATTTCTAAAGAAAATGCACAAAATATTATCCGCCTGTTATTAACCAACGTGGATAGCAACGAATCCTTGTCAGAAAGTATTTTACACCAATGAATTTATAACATAATTTTTACGTTCACACTCTTAAAATATAATCCTTTCGTTTCATTCCTGCTTGCTTGTCACACTTTAATATACACGTGTGCAACATTTTCACTCGATGCAAAGCGAAGTTACAGGACGTTTAAGTATGAATATCCGCAATTGATTGTGATAACCATCGAATCTTAATGCTCGATGCAAAGGAAGAACAGACAAAAAGTGAGTACTAGAATTATACTATTTGCAAAAAGAAGCTAAGCATGCCGTGAAGGAAGAATATATGCTAAAAAAAGCCAGAGAAGAACTGCAGTATGCTTTTTGCATGTGAAAAAAGCATTCTTGCTCTACCATATTCTAACTGCTTATTTCTCCATCCATTTTCATTCTCTTTGCATTCGGTGCCTCTGGAACATTACTGCCACTGTTCTCTTGGGATGACATATCATGCTGATACGCGCAATTGGCTCCGTTCCGGCATCCCCTGGCACTGTTGAAGTACATGCAAGGCTTCATTACCTTTGGCCTTGAATCTCTCGGTTTGGTATTGTTTATTAGTTCTTGGTTCGGTCTTACGTGCTGGTTGTACCGGCTGTTGAACTTGGCTGGTTCTTGTCTTTCTCCTCCATGCTGCAGAATCAAGTTTTTGTAATAGTTTACATCCTTCTTCTGGGGAGGTCCAATAGCAGGTGAAGCTGTAACTGGATGGACACTGGGAATGGGACTTTGTTTACTTGAGGGTCCAACTCCAACCCCATTTGGCTGAGGATAAAATGCTCCACCAGGTGTAGCTGATAAGGGTGCAATACCATTTTCTGTTCTATTGATGTGGGCAGGAAATGGATTGGAGTGATTTACTACAGGTGGGGGTGGGTCGGGAGACGGTACCAAAGGGGATGGCAATTCAGTTAAGCTTTGAGTACCTGAAGCTGCTCCATGATCAGTAACTAATTTCTCAATCAATCTCGGGTTGCTGAGAATCTTAACAAGCAAGTCAGGATCAATCATGTTTCCGGGTTCATTGCTTTGGTTAATCGCTGCAAAGGCAGCAGCTGCTACACCAGGTTCAATATTAACAACCGTTCCAGCAACTGGTTTTTCATCAGCTGAAGAACTTGAAACACTGGGTATACTGCAATGAAGAGTATGTAAAATACCAGGAGGCAACATATGGGGCTGTGAATTAAGTAGTGTTTCCATTGCTGCATCCTCATCTTCGATAGGAGTGACGGGTATTTGAGGAGTTAGCAGATCGTTATAGTGGCAATTTCCTATGTCTGCTGAAACAGAAGGGCTGCACAACGAGGAGAAAATTTAGTGTCGTGGAAAAGTAAAACCAAGAGAAGCAGGTTCTAGAAAACCCGCCCTACAACCCGTCAAAAAGAGAGAAAAGAAAAGTATCAAACTTTGTAGGAATTGCAGATGGGCGTGGATAAACAGCTTCAAGCACTCTCACTTCTCTCTGATTTTGAATCTCCACCTCTTTACTTTCCTCTCCGGCAACAACTTGCCAATTCATGTCCAAAACAAACTGTAAAAATGTAGATTAAGCTTTCAAGTAAATGTCTGGGAGCAATAATCACAAATCAACCTAAAATACAGATTAAGCTTTAGAACTGTTACTCTGAGAGGACATCTCCATTTAATGACAGGAATCTCCAACAAGTTAATCTGCAGATCATTTGTAGAATGAGCTCCTTCAAATCCAGGAGGCAGAAAGTCATCCCCAGCTGCCCCATTTGAATGTGATACCAAAGAGGTTTTTGGTTGGAGGTGATCTTGACCACCCGACCCAACTTGGGACGGTGAATCCTCCGACAGAAATAGCCTTATCTGTTAAGAGAAGCATTTACGTATTCTGTTTGTCATCTTCGATAAGATAGGATAGTGAAATGTTCAAACATCATTTTATTGAACTAACACACTCTGGTAACTAAACTGAAGAGAGGTTGCATAAACACATATGGTTTTTAAATATATATGTATATATATAAGAACTTTTTTTGCAACAACAAAATCAAAATGCAAGCAGAACAAACTACAGCATCTATGATGCTGATATGTGGCAGCGAATCCGTCATTTCTTGCTGAGTTGCTACAAATCTTTTAACACTCACCAAGCATCAGCAAGATGATGCCCAGAGACTTTCGGAGGCCATAGTTGTAGCTGGAAAGCTGATTAAGCTTGCAAGTGACAAAACAAGTAACGATGTGTCGTCCAGGCTCATGCCTAGAGATAGTGCAATAGTGGGAGAGACCGGGAAAAGGTGCAGCAGAGAGATGGTAGAGAAAGCTCTTCGAGTGGCCAAGGTGAGCCAGCGACTGTTCGTAGCCAAGGAATGCCATCGAGAAAGAATGGCAAGGCTAAGTCCGGTGTAAAGAAGAATGGGAGCAAGGAAAAATTGAAGTGCTACTTCTGTGATGGTCCTCATTTAATTAGAGGATGTCTCGAGAAGCTTCGCCTTAGAGCCATCATGAAGAGGATGGAAGAAGTAGCGAAAATTGGTGCGGTTGCAAGATTTAAAGCTGCCAAGCCAGGGAAAAGACTTGGTCAAATTGAGGGGATCAATGCGGTCAAGCAAGGGTACGACTACAAGATCCCAAGTAGTCAATCCAAGATCGAGATGTGGCGAGACTGCGGGTGTCAAAGCAGTCGAGCACAGGAAAGTACCCAGTGCGATAGCAAGAGATAAAGCCGTCAAGTCGAGGGTGCAAAGTGAGCAAGTCCGCTCACAGTATGTCAGGATGGATGTGTGGTCCAAGTTGAGGAGTCTTAGGCATAAAGGGACACTTAAAGAGTATGTGAGCCGATTTAGAAGACTCGTGCTCAAAGTCCCAAGTTTGACAGAAGAAGATGGGTTCTTCACTTTCATGTTCGGATTGAAGCCATGGGCGAAGAGAGTGTTGGAGCGAAGGGAAGTCAAGGAGTTGTCTAAAGCCTTGAAAACCGCCGAGTCCATCAAAAAATTTAGAGTCAAGAAGAACAAGACTTCCAAAGCAAAGCCGAAAGCTGAGGGTAACGACAAGAGATTCCGTGATGAAGGCAAGTCAGAGGATGAGGAATGTTGTTCCTCGAGTGGCAGAGAAAATCCACTCAATGATGAACCAGATGGTGAGTCTGGGGATGATGTGTGCAGTCTTGGCACAAGTTCGAGTATTAAAGATGCTAAGCCGAGGGTAAGAGTCGAGCAAGCGAGGGGGCACAAACTTAAGATCCTAGAAGTGTTTCAGAATTACCCGAGGGGAGCTGAGTCATCCAAGGTGATGGATGAGCCCAAGATCGAGTTTTCCAGAGAAGAGGACGAACCCAGGATCGAAGAGGCGTTGAGAGTTGGCTCAATAAGGTTCATTTCTGCCAAGGCGAGTAGAAGTCAAGTGCAGGAGGAGTTAGCCATGTCCAAGGAGTTTGCCGAACATGTTCGTGTAGAGAACATGGCTTCAGAAACCATCTTAAGAGAAGGGTTGAAGCAGGGGCTTGCAGAGGATGTTCAAGTGAGGAACAATCTTTCAAAGACTAGTGGACAATAGTCGAAGGGAGCCAAGACGTTGAGGGACAAGGCAACCACGGAAAAACTACCCATTTACAAGGTGGGAAGTAAGCTCCAACCTTCGTGTTAGAAGGGAGGAGGCAAGAAGAGGCATCAGACTTTGCCGTGAGAAAGTGCCGATGCATGGTGGCACAAAGAACTCCAATGATAAGGATTCAATGCAAGGAGTGCCAGACTTTATGTAATTTTGTTTTTGATAAGAATTTCAGGCTCATTAAAAACCCCTTTCTTGATTAATGGAGCTTTTAGAAAAGCTCCTTAATCAGCGGAAGAAGGAAAAGAGTGCCTTAGGATTTTATTAATCATAGACAAAGTACATAAGATACAACCAGAAGACATACTAAACAGAACCTTAAATATTACATAACATAAAATCAAAACCACCAAAACGACCAGACCACCCTTAAACAACAAAACTATCTCAGCCCCAACAACCTTAACAGGCCACCATAACCCTACTGAAAACCTCTAAAGCAACAAAATTAATCATCCAATCCCCTGTTTAGCCAAAGTATCAGCCTCACAATTGCAGCTCCTCGGTATGTGTCTAATAATAATCTCCCTCTCCGAGATTAGGGAAACAATTTTCTGAATCATCAAACTAAAAAAATAAGATGTAGTCGGCAGCAAAATCCAATCCACTACTGATTTACAATCACTCTCTATTATTAACCTTCCCTTCATCGCCCACTCCGATGAGAGAAAGAAATCAATGCCTTTCTCAATGGCTTTTAGCTCAGCGAGTGGAGGAGGACCTAGACCAACAACATTCGAGAAAGACCCTAGAATTTTACTTTACGAATCTCTTAAAATGCCCCCAATTCCCGAAGGGCTGACGCAATTTTAAGTATGTCGTGGTTTGTACAAGACTAGAAATACTGTTGTATTGATCGAAGTGTGAAGACAAATTAAAATAAGTCTTCAAGTAGGAGATTGTTGAAAGTCAATTTTAGTGGCTGCAAAATTCTTTGGCAACTTGGGCGGCTGGAACCATGGGTCTTTGGCAACTGGGTGGTTGGAAACATGGGCGGCAAATTAGGCAGCAATTGTTGAATTTGGGCAATGGTAAAATCACAATTTAGTCATTGTACTTTAGGATATTTACAAGAATAAGTCCTTAAGCTTCAACTATAAATACTCTAACCTATTTCGTTTCAAAATCATCCCCAAATCCCTAAATCCCAAAAATCATTTTTTTCTCTCAATACTAAAGAGTTTAGTGAGTTCTCTTATGAGTAGTGAGTGTTGTGTAAACATCTGTAAATTTTCTCTCTTTAATAAAATATCTGCAGCAGTCCGGAGACGTAAGCAAAATTAGTTGAACTCCGTTATCAATTTCGGGTATTATTTTTCCTCTTTTATTTCACATTCTCACTAATCTGGTTATAGGGAAATTACTCGTTTATTTCCCAACAATACTTGGTGGAAAAGATTCGTCTGCAGAGAGCTATTCGGATTGAATTTACAGCAACCAACAGGGCATCCTGGATTTGGAAAGGAATACTGAATAATTGTGAGGAGGATGAGTTTGGGCAGTGTTTTCAAAATCATTTAAAATTTCAGGTTAGAAATGGTGAATCTTTAAGGTTCTGGCTTGATAATTGGCTGGGTGGTAACCCTCAAGGTGCAATTTCCGAGAATGTTTTCTTTATCAATCAATTAGGAGGGAATGATTGTTGTGTTTAGATGTCGGAATCATTCGGGTTGGTGTTGGAACATTCCTTTGAGAAGGAACCTTGCTAATTGGGAGGTGGAGCAATGGGTAAACCTAAATTCTTTGCTTCAGAATCTTCCTTGAGGTGAGGAGAATAATGATGGATGCATATGGTCGGGGAATGGGGAGGGTATTTATTCAATAAAGTCTTGTGTTAGGCTAATGTATGAATGGCAGCCTACAAATTCTGTTTGGACGAAGCAGGTTTGGCTCTGGGTGGCACCCCCGAGAGTGGAAACCTTTGTATGGCAATTAATTCATCAGAAGTTGGTTGTTAAATTAGAGCTTGCTAAACTAGGTGTTGAAGGCTTAGAAGATGTTTTGTGCCCTCTTAGTCGACTCAAACCCAAAATTGTTTCGCATCTTATGGTATTATGCAAGTTTGTGTGGGATATTTGGTGTACTTTTCTGCCTTATTGGAAAATTACAGCGGTGTTGCCATGTAATCCTGCTGATCTATTAGTGGCTTCGACGGAGTTAGTTTGTTACTCTCACATTTGGACGCTAATACCAGGCGCGATTATGTGGTCGGTGTGGAAGTGTAGGAATGAAATAGTTTTCAAGAAGGGTTATTTTGATTCAGTTCAACTTTCATTCCTCATTAGATTTAGATTGGTTTCATGGTTTGTTGCAAAATTTTCTAGTGCTAATATGTAGTTTGATGGCTTAGTGAGTGACCCATCTCTGGTAGATATTCATTGGAAAGCCAAGAAAGTGATATTCTATTCACCTGCTTGGTCCCCTCCTCCCCCAGGTTTTTTGAAGATTAATGTTGATGGAGCAATGGAGAAAGAGTGGCATAGAGGTGGTATTGGTGGTCTTATTCATGATTTGAATGATAAGTTGTTGGGATCTTTCTCAAAAAAAGTGAGGTCTGGCCCTCCTATTTTGGTTGAATTGCTTGCAATTAAAACAGGATTAAGTTTTTTCTTTGAGAAGGAGTGGGGATCTAAAGGAATATTGATTTTGGAATTGGACTGTTTGAAGGCCTTAGAGTGGATCAAAAATCTTAGTTCTTGCCCAGCTTTGTTTGAATCTTTGGTCAAGGAAATTTGTGCAGTGGTGGTGAATAAAAACGTAATTGTAAAGCATATTCAGAGATGTTGCAATTGGAAGGTTGACAAGCTTGCAAAGTCGGAAATTTGGTAACTGTTTATAGTTCAGCCTATTGTTTTACTGTGTATAGAATATCTGGGTTGTTTTGTAAGGTAGGGCAACTCTTACTAAGTTAGGGATATGGTTTTTGTTGAGATGTCAGCTGAGTGTTGGTCATTTTTGAGGTTGTATTTTGGTTGTGTATGGCTATAATGAACTTTTGATGTAATTGATATTTAAGGAATAAAATTTTGTGGTACTCTTTTCCTCTTTCCAATGTCCGCTAAGCTATCTTCATAGCTTGATGGGTATGGAGGGGGTTTTTAACGAGACCTCCCATTTTTATAAAAAAAAAAAGATGGAGGCAACAATGCATTTTGTCACGAATGAGATACAATGAAACAAAGCATCTAATTGAGCCTATTAGATTTAGGTACAGGTTACCAACCAACAGATAACTTGATCTCTTCGTTGAAAGGCTGCGATAAGACAGTGAGATCAACTATTTGTCACTTCTGAGAATAACTTCGCCTAAAATATTGAGCAAAATTGCTTTTCTCACTCTCACAACTTGATTTGTTAGAGACGGTTGGACCTACTCTATAATAGCTTGACAACATTGGATTTCCCTTTTTTGGTCACAAATCCTTTGCCAGACGGCGTTTCTAAAACATTACATCAAACAACAATAAGAAACTCAATTCTAATTAGTTCAGAGTATCGAATGATCTTAGGATGAGGCAGCAAAGACTCTTTATGGACTTGTGGTGGCTATATAGGAGCATGCCCTTTCAATTTGTAAAGGACATCATGCACCTAAGAATTAGAGATTCTAAAACTATAACTCTCCAATGAAACTAACAATCCTTTCAAAATGTTTAGGACTTAGGAAAAAAGCCAATTACTTCAAAGACTGTGGATAGACAGTTAACCATCCTAGAAGTTAAAAAACACATATTGGAGGTTTATCTTATAACTACAAGCACCAATATAAAGTCGAGCCTCCAGAAATAAAGCAATATAAGAAGAATTCACTAACTTAACATGCAACCTAATCAAGTTCCATGGAGATTTTACAGTTGTACTCTGGTTATGTTATCGAGCTCTGCAAAGATAAACATTTTATGAAGGGAAACATCATTGATTGACATGCTAGGGAAGCTAATCAATGGCATATTTTTATCATTACTGGAATTTTTTAATACGCTAACAATAAAAGTCTTTCACCATTTTCATTCCCCGATTCCTTTTTCTAACTAGCATTACAAACTTCCGAACTATATTAACAGGTTTGTTCACATAAAACAGAAAGGTGTGAAACTAAATTAAACATAATACATCAAATGTCATAACCAAGATGAAAGACTCAGTAGAAATCATGCATTACAAGCATACAAAAACCGAACTAAAATTGACCACCAAAAAGGTTCAAATGCAATTCAAGAGTGTAATAGATAAAATATTATTGAAAAAAATCACACCAGAAACAAAACAAAAAGAAGGGTTAACATAGCTTCATTCTCCAAAATATCTGGTTCACTTCAGCTTAAAATTTTGTACACTCCGTTCCACTTCTCTATTTAACCTGAAATGGAACTCAAAACTAGAGAACTTCCAAAGAAAAATTGCAATTTTACCTGACAGAGGTTAACGTCTGAGGCCCAAGTAACCCTTTTTGTCTTGAGCGGTCCTCGCATATTTACAGATCGCAAAAAATACAATATATTATATCAAAGATAGAGAGAGACCCTAAAAACGATCATTTTCCGGCCCCGATACTCCAGTTAGGGTTGGGTCAATTAAAACTCAAACTCCCAAAGAAAGGAGAAAGAAGACAAGAGCCTCAGCCGTTAAATCAACATACCTGTTTTGAAAACCCTAATTGTAAGAAGAAGAGAGAAAACAATCGGTTCAAAACCCTCGCACATCTATTTTCCAATTACCTAATGTTTCGAGATGGAGAGATCCATGGTAACCCTATAACGGATTTTCAGGGCTTTGCCGTTTTTCTGTCTGATTTATTATTCCGAAATCTTCCTGGTGTATTTCTTTCATTCTGGGCTTCTGTTCTGTAAAAGGGATGACCCACGCAACCTATTGACGCGTCGAGGGTAGCTGTAAACGAGTCGAGTTGAGTTTTAGTATTATTAAGTTTGATTTGAATTCGAAAAATTTAAAATTAAACTCGATTCGACTCGAAAATTCGTGAGTTAAAAATTATTAATATCAGTTGGAACTCAAAATATAATATTGAAACTCAACTCGAACTCGAAAATGTTCAAACTCAAAAAAAAATTAAGAGCTCGATTAAAACTCGAGACTCAAGCTCGATTAAAACTCGATTTTGAACTCGATTCAAGCTCGAACTCAAACTCGAATTTGAACCTACAAAAATCTTATATTACATTTAAAAATATATTTTTAAAAATTTATAATTATCAATAATATATTTTTAATATATTTTTAATAACGTAAATTTAAAAAATTTAAAATTATAATATAACTTTTTAAAACATATTTTTAATAACGTATTTTTAATATATTTTTGAATACTTCGCGAGTTTTTCGAATTAAGTATTAAATAGTTTGTTTTAATTCGTTAAGAATTTGAGCTCGAGTAAAATAGATAATCATTAAGTAAACAACACTCCTAAATAAACACTAACCTAATAGGAATTTGTTAGTGCAAAATTTAGCCTTCTTAATCAAATTATTTTCTCTAGTTTATTTACAGTTATGATCATTTTCATTCATAATTTTTTATGGCCTATTTTACAATTAATCTCAAGTTTGTTTTGATTCATAACCGTTTATGATTTTAAATTTTATTCTCTTTGATATTTGCAGTCAAATTTTGTTAGCAACAAAATGAAAAAAAAATAAAAACACTTGATTTTCAATGCCTTTAGAATCTATCAAATGGCACCAATGAAGTTACACAGAAACAAAAAGAACAAAAAAAAATTAAAAGAAATCTATCAAATGGGATAACATTGTCAGGAGAACAATCAAAAGCTTTTCTCGACAGAAACAAAAGCAAAAAAATATGAAAATTGAGTATTATTAATCAAAATGAAAGAAGAAGAGGTGAGGAAAAAACTTACCAGGAGGAAAGGATTGGAAAGGAGAACTGATTTTTCTTTCTAAAAGGAAGCTAAATCATCAAACAAAGGAGAAGGATATTGGAAAAAGAGGAAAATATTGAAAAATATAATTGATTTTTCTAGGGATTTAACGTATGCTAAAGAATAAAGGGAGTGATATTTTTAAAGTAATTCTTTTATTTCCAGGGTATTTTAGTCTATATTGATGGGAATTGGTGAATATACTTAAGCCATGAGAGGGATTAGTTCCCGATAAAGTACCTCCAAAATTTTACTGTTGAAAATTGTTTATTCCTCCCTGTTGGGAGTCTTTGCAATCTAAACCAAGGAAATAGATTCTGGAAAAGTTTTTTCCTTCCAGTAATAATCTTTTCCACCATCCAAACAACTCCTAAGTGGTATGATTTGAGCACTATTATCTATGCGTATGAATTTATTCAAATAAAAACCAGATAAATATTATTACGAGACCAATAATAATAATAATTTGAGTAAATTATATTATCCACCGTTCAATTATCTTTTTATTTCTATTTTGATTATTAAAGTTTAAAAAATAATAATTTAATAAATAAACATTTAAATTATTCATCTTTTAGTCATTACATCGTTTAAATTATAAAATATGTGATGATATGGTTATTTTATTATTATTTAATATGACAATGACATCTTTATTAATTTTTAATGTCTGATATGATTTAAAATGAAAATGAAAAGAAAAATAAAATTAAAAATTACTAAACCTTAAACTCAATCTTAAAACTTTAATCATAAACCCTTAATTCGTACCGATCACCCTAAAGCTTTATTGACCACCCCACACCATCTCATCGCTAAACCCTCAAAACCATCTCGAACACTAACCGACTTCACTTGCAATATCTCAATCCTAAAACTTTGATAAAACTTTGATAAAACACTATAAACCCCAAACCCTCATCAATCTTACCATTATAAACCCCAATATTCTTATCAAAAACCTAAATCTTTAAGTTCTTAGGTTCTAATAAATCCACGTCTCTGATCCTAGATCCCAACAATCAAAGCACAACATGTCAAATGGAGAGTAAAATATCTCAATCAGATAATCAATTGAAAAGGGTGATCTAAAACGAAATATTGAAAAGGGAGAGGAAAATCTTTCATTAGTATCCGTATCAATGTAAGTGACGGTCATACCATGATGATGTATAACGATTATGGTATTAATGATAGATTTATTGAGTTTGAGTTGTTTCTCATTAAACGAACAATGAATTCACATTCAAAAAGGTCATAAATTGGTGGGATATTTTGAGACACGTTGATATTGGACGACAGTGGATGGCGATGTTCAAATAATGACCAACGCAAAATGTCTAGATTCTAGGTTGGTTTAGAGCAAAAAAGAGAAAATGAGATAAGAAGAATAAGAAGAAAGAATAAACGAGGAAAAACAAGTTTTTATAGGGAACCAAAAGAATATTTTTGAACTAAATTTGGTTTTATGTAGGGATCCAAAATGATGTTGTTTTGGTATAGATTACCATATTATAACATTGATAATTGTTTAATGGTGGAGTAACCAAAATAAGAATAATTTGAAAAAATTTATACTTCAATAATCAAAATCAGAGTAAAAATATAATTAAGTGATGAACGCTTCACTTTACCCTAATAATTTTACCTTATATATAAGAAATACAATTTCCACCCTGGCATTCCTTCTTTGGGAGATGCCCAATCAGATTCAATCATAGGGATCAAGGCTTTTTCAACATTTTCACTTTTTCAGTCTACAATGCCGTTGAAAATTCTTTTTTGTATTTCCATATTTGTCCCTCAATTAAACCGACCCATATATATATATATATGTATTTCCTGCCCCGTCTTCGCCGCACTCGAATTTCAAATTTGCAAAGTAAAGTTCTCAGATTTGTTTCTCGCAAAATCAAATCCCTAATCCCTCTTCATATATTTGGTCGTTGCTTTTTGGCTTATCGTTCTTTCTTTCATAATCTTTAGTTTAAATTTTCTCGAAAAAAGGAAAAGAGATGGCTCGTACAAAGCAAACTGCTCGCAAATCAACCGGAGGAAGCAGCTTGCCACCAAAGTAAAATTTTCAGAATCATTGAATTATTTATTTTTCCCCAACAAACTTCCATTGATTTCTTTCATTAAACTTCTCTTATTCTCTATTTGTCGATCAATCAATTACAGGCTGCAAGGAAATCTGCACCAACAACCGGCGGAGTCAAGAAGCTCCCCCGTTACCGTCCATGGACCGTCGCTCTTCGTGAAATCCGTAAATACCAAAAGAGCACAGCGCTTTTGATTCGAAAATTTCCATTCCAGCGCCTTGTTCGTGAAATTGCCCAAGACTTCAAGGTTATAAAAAAGTTTGAAGAAATCAAATTCCTAATAAAAATTTAAAAGCTATAATTTAAATTTAAAATAAATAAATATATCACTTAGTTATAAAAACCAGAAATAGAACTCTTAGAATTTAAAAGCTATAATTTAAATAACTCAATTTATCTTTGGCGGAAAGTCAAAAACACCATTATATACTAATACCTTTCATTATTAAGATTAGTTTGTTTCATTAAAAATATTTTTTTGAAAACGTTTTTAGTATAATAAATTATATTTTCTAATTTTTTTTGATAAATATTTTATGATTTTTGAATAGTGTTGTGTAAATTATTTTTCACTAATTGATATATTTTTAAAAAATTATTTATTACAAAATTTGAATAGACTAAATAATAATATTGTTATTATAAAAATCAATATTATTATTTTTAAAATATTATATATATATTAAAAAATATGAATAAAATAAGAAATATTAATAATTATATTAATTACTTATTTAAAATTATTATTATTATAATATGAAAATAAGAATATTGTATTATATTTTTAAAATTTTATTTTTTTAAGTTGCCCTTCCGGATCCAAAGGCTTTACCTTAACTTATCCGAACCGACCCAGGTTACACATCTGATTTTTGTAGGCGAGTCTCCATGCGAGAATTTTTTGCATACATAAGGACTCGAACTTGAGACTTGCTTAAGTGATATCAAGTTGCTTACCCCTTGAACTAACCCTGTTAGTATATTTTGAAATTTATTAATAAATATATTTTAATTATATTTGTTAAAATATTATTTTTATAAAATTAATGAATGATATAAATTTTATTAATATATATTATTAACATAAAAATATAATATCATATATTATTATAATATAATTGATTATATTATTATAATATAATTGAATATATTAGTATAATATTAAACAAATATAATATAATATTATTAAAATAATTAATAATTATATTTTAAATATTTTAATAATTTATATTTTATTAAAAGCACTAAAAATATTTTATTAATATTAAATAAAATAATATTATTTTTATATTCACACTTTAAAGTGAAAAGTACGAAAAATAACTTATGAAAAATCATACCATAAGTTATTTTTTAGAAAATACAAAGGAAAATGACTAGGAAAATATTTTACATTGATCAACCTATTTTACGTCAACCAAACATTGAAAAATGAAGAAAAGATTTTTCGAAAAATATTTTATGTGAAACAAATAGACCCTAGAAATACATTAAATAATTAGGAATTTGATGTATATCATTATTTAGATTTTAATATTTATTAAGATTAAAATTTTATATGATATTTATTTTTTATATTTAGTTTAAAAGTAATTTACGTAAAATAAATTATATTTTTTTGAAAAAAATCAAAATTATTTTATAACTTTCGAAATTTTTTAGGGCAATCAATATCAATCCTTTAATATTGAAGCATAATGTTAAAAAATATTTCGACTCTTAAATATAAATGTCAAACTATTATATTTCATAATTATTATATCAATATTAATGTTTGAG